GTTCAGACCAGAGGTCCCAGTGCTGCTTTAATCCCCCTTGCACCCTCCCCGCATTCAAAAGCGCTGGTGATTAGTCTTCGTCTCTGCAGCTCATTCCTCCACCATCTAGCCTCCGATAACACTGTGGCCCCACCTCACCGATAAACAGAGCAAACAAATAATCGAGAGCACAGCCCAGTCACCCTAAAGAGCCTCATAAAGCACTTCAGCCATAAGTGCTGGTTTTGGAGCTGCTGTTCTGTCCTCCTTAGGAGATTTCTTCGTAATAAATTGATGCCTGAGTTAGCTGATGAATCACTGCTCGGTTATTAAACCATAAATCATTCCTCCACCCCACCAAAAAGGTAAAAAAGAATCAGAGAAATGGGTTTTCCTTCCTTTAAGGAGTTAGCAAAAGGACTTCATCATGGCCCACGCTCTCAAGGTATTTGGGGCGGTATTTGGCCGGTGTGCTGGTGGGGGAGGTTGGCAGGGTTTGGGCAATTTAGTGGCTTCAGGTGAAAATATGAAGGTGATCTCTCTAGGGAAGGCAGGAGTGGAACACGCTGCTGGGCAGGGAAGGGGTAGGACAGGGGTAGGAGGGAGCCTGTTTGGGCAAATTACAGAGGGAGGGCTGGTGTCTGGAGGTCCCTTTTGAAATGCCATGGGGTTACTGTAATGAACCCTAACCCTACTTGGGAATAATTTCTTATAAATCAGGTGCAGAAAGATGAAAGCCCTCATTGTAATCAAATCTGAAACCTGAACTAACTGTATCATCCATAGTGTTTCCCACCAAAGCCCTGACCTGGGAGCAGTGCAGGAGCATTAAAAACCATTGAGTTCCCCATTGGGCGAACTCCTGCTTTCCTTACAAAACCCCAAGTCTAGTCTGAGCTTATTTTCTTTTCCTTTTCAAACAGGAAATCTAACCTCTCTGACTCGAAGATGCCTTCCCTGTACGCCTCGTGGACGCTATCGACCTCCTCACTCTCCTCTCAAGGGAGCATCTCAGAAAACGGCCCGAGACAAAGCAGAGCCTTGAAGCCGGCGCTGCTGCCCGTGCCCATCACCTCGCCTGGGAGGAGTACGGCCACGGGACAGGCATCGCGGCGCGGACGCGGCAGCACGAGGAAGAGTGAGTGCTTCAGGGGGGTCTCTGGGAGGGAGAAGTCAGACACATATACCCCAAACCATACTGGCTGCCTGCTGTTAGAAACGGCCCGAGACAAAGCAGAGCCTTGAAGCCGGCGCTGCTGCCCGTGCCCATCACCTCGCCTGGGAGGAGTACGGCCACGGGACAGGCATCGCGGCGCGGACGCGGCAGCACGAGGAAGAGTGAGTGCTTCAGGGGGGTCTCTGGGAGGGAGAAGTCAGACACATATACCCCAAACCATACTGGCTGCCTGCCATTAGCACCAGAGCCATTAAAAAAAAAAAAAAAGAAGAAATGCACATTGCCAGAAGGGCAGCTCTCCCGAGTGGTCCTCGCCAGGGCTGGGCTCTTGCATCAGGCTGAGCATGACACGAGCAGAGACCAGCCATTCCCTGGGGCACCACAGCATCTCCTCTCAGCCAGGGGTGAGCTGCTGGGGGGCAGGCATCCCTGGCTGACACGCTGAGTTTGCAGACACGGAGTGACCATGCTGTCACCCCGCTGCATCCCATCCCCCCCTTGTGAGCCTGGCTCTTGAGAAGGGTCTTTCCAAGGGGTCTGGTTACAGCCAGGCTGCAGTGCCGAGGACAGGCAGCGTTATCCTGCTGCTGGGCAAGGGGCTGCGCGCAAAGGAAAAGGCGATTTACTAAGTTGAGCATAGCAAAGCCTGCCCTGACCTCTGTGGATTAACCCTCCAGGCTGGCAGGGGTGGAGGGTGAAATGCCCAAGGGGGTTAATCCCCTGCAAAGGTGGAACTGCAGGGCTGGGGGCAATGCCAGCTGGCTCACCCATCCCGACCGGCACCGCACCAGAGCGTGGCACGGCTCGCTTCTGGGGGAGCAGCCGATGACCCTGTCCTCAACAGGCATGGGAACCTGTATCAAAATGCATTGGTTAACCAAAACCATTTAAACAAGAGAGTAAGGGAGGCCATTAGACAAAAAAGCATCCTTATGTGGCAAACAAAGAAAATTAAATACAAACTCCAGCAAGGCAAACATCAACTGCACCAAGACAGTATTATCAGTCTCTAAAAGGGAGTTGTGCAGTGATCTTGGAAAATGTAAATCAGCAAATCCAACCTCTGAAATCCACAACACCCAGCAACAGGGCACTAAAATGGCAGCTGAAACGGCAATACAGACACAGGGAGAAATAATCCCTAATCACACACACACAGCCTTGGGCCCTAAATTAGCTTTTGTCACTTGGGAGAGATGTTTTGGAATTGTCACAGCCAGCTTTCTAAGAACTCCACCTCCATGCTCAGAAGCAATTTTTAAAAAGGTTAATTTAGAGTATTATTCAGAATTATTAAGAAAGGAACTCGGAACAAGAGAGTAAAACTCAGCTGTGCCATTGGGGGAGTTCTGGCGATCTCATGTCCTGAACACTTCATGTATTTCTAGTAACTCAAAAAGAATCCAGTAAAATCAGGAAAAGCATGCAGGAGGATGATCAAAGTATGGACTAACTTCTATTTCAGGAGAAAAAAAAAAAATTCAGCTTGGAATATCTGAGATGCATAAAATCATGAATAGCCTGAAGGTGAGAAAGGATACTGCACAAAAAAAAGAGCAGCAGGAGTTACCCAGTGAAATTGTGAAGCCAAAAGCCTTGATGTAGCAGAGAGCTAGAGGGAAAAAAACTCCATTATCAGCTCTATTTTTCTTCTCCTCCTCCGCAAAGATCCAGTACCTGCTCCTCACTTGCACATGCCCAGGGCTGTAGGAAACACCCGTCCTGAGGATGGAGGGCAGGGGGAGGGAGCCTTGCTGAACACCTCCCTCAAGGCCACAGAGGAGCCCGGGCCCCACACCCCTGTCTTTCCCCAGCTCTGGTTATTTTGGTAATTTTAGGGGTTTTGACTCGGCACAGAAAAACTCTTTGCGAAGGCTTATGCAGAGCTCAGTTATATTCTTTCCAGCGAGGCTGGCAAGGTTTATCTTCAGCCCATACCTGCTGCTTTGGAATAGCTGTCCAAACACACTTGGAAAGGTAAGTGGTGCATTCTTCCACGCCTGCAGGCAGAGCTGCTGCTGGAGGCAGGCAGAGCCCCTGGCAGGGTGGAGGCACATTTGCAAGGGCCATTGTCAGTGGTTTTAGACTCAAAATTTGATTTACCTTAAGAGTTGTTTTACTGTAAAAGACTCATTCCCCTGTGATGGCTCTATTAAAAAAAAAAAAAAAAATATCAACCTTGTGAACAGCAAGAAACTGCAGAAGAAGTAAAGCGTGTGACTTCCCACGCCGCAGCTGGGGAAGCAGCTCAGGGATGGAGCAGCCAAGTAGGAGCAACAAACAGCACGGAAGGGCAAGGGCTGGCGGGAGGGCTCCGGAGCAGGGCTCCTGCTGGCCTTCGTACATTTGGCAAAGAAACCGCGGGGAGGGGGCAGGGAGCCCCCCGGGTCCCATGAGGACCCCATCGCAGGAGATGTTCCCCAGGGGCAGTTTCTGCTTGGGGGGGATTTCTTGCTCCCCAGCAGCATGGGCTGGTAGCAGATTGTCCTGTGTCACCCAACACTGTCACCCCCCTCACCCCTTCCTGGCTGGGCTGCGTCTGCTCCTACCCGCTCACCGTGGCACTTCACCCACGGGGCTGCGACTCCTTGCCTCCGGAGCTGGGCAGGAAAATCCAACCATGTCGTGCTGAGGCTGCGCAACCTGATGTTCAGGGTTAATGCACCAAGCACGTCTGCACCAAGAGCATCTGCAGTCCAGGAGAAGGCAGGCCAAACTCTCAGAAACCAGATCGGTCCTATCCAAGACAGAAAAATTTCTCTAGCATGAGTCATTGGGCAAACACAGGGGGATCGAGGGGTTTGGTTTGTTGGCCTTGCCAGTGTCCAGCAGAGGTGAGGCTACAGAGGCAGACTGCATTACTGCTGCATGGAGGTAGGTGCGTGGCAATCCCTGGGAGCTACGACCCCACAGCATCCCTGTAAACAGGGCTGGAACCACTGCTCACTGCTGCCTCT